GTAAAAGTTCAAAGAACAATCTACATAATTAGATTGTTTTGTTACCATAGCAACAGTCTGATGCTGTCAGTTTAATCTTTGAGATTTAGCTGTTCATTAATGCATCTTACAGTTACTTTTGCCTGCTCAGCCAGGTAAACTGGGTCCAGCTGGAGGAAACTCTGGACACCTGATCTACAATTTCCTTCAGTATCAAACCGATACAGATATTGATATCAGATCGATGCATCCCTAGTTCTGCTGGGAAACAATCATCAATATCTGATCAATGACTTTTCTTTTACTCATCTTCCTCCTATCAGCCCCTCCCCCCAGACGTTTCCATTTCCTGCGCAGCAGAAGTCAGGACAAGCTCCTCCCCTCCTCTTCCTCTTCTTCCTCGTCTCGCCCCGCCCTCTCTCTCTCCAGACGCCTGCGGTTTTGGTCATCCTCTGACATCACAGATGAGGTCATCAGTAGTCCTACAATCGCAACCACAGGAGTTTTCTAGGCCCCTCCCCCTTCATCATCATCATCATCATCTCCCATCCCTCTCTCTCTTTCTCTCTCTCTCTCGCTCTTCATGCTGATGGACGAGTTAATAGTGAGTAGTTCTGTTTACCTGTTGCTCCACCTCCTTCCTGCCCAAGCCCCGCCTCTTCCTGCCACGCTCAGCGCTGTTTGGCTGCTGCTCCATCTGCTGCTTAGTCTGCAGGGGTTCTGGTTTGGTTCCTGGAATCGGACCTGAGCAGAACCTCAGCAGGACATGCTGGCTGAACTGTTTCCATGGTCCTGGTCGGGCCCGACCCAGAAGGACGACGGCCGCTGCGCCGCTTCGCCCTGATTGGTGCGGGCCGGGTTTAACGCTCTCTGATTGGTCCACAGGCCCGGCTGAGCGCGGTGGACATCGCAGCAGCAGCGACAGCGTCAACGGAGACGAAGCTAACGGTGAGCAGCCGCCGCGTCGCAATGACATCAGCAGCCGGACCCGACCAGACCTGAACACTGCAGCCTGAAGTGACCCAATTCCAAGTTTTTGGATTGTTTTTGCCGTGGCCGTTCACACTTCTGAACATATGCAACCTGTATGTGTTCTGCAGTGTGAACGGACAAGAACCTGGAAGTGTCCCGCATGCCCAGTAGAGGGCGCAATAACGTCAGCGTTCTCAGTGTTCTGCCAACCGCCATAAACAGAAGAAGTGCTCTGTGTTTGTGGAAGTAAATATGGAGGCTAACGGTGGAGCTTAGCTTCTACATATGCAGCATATTAACAACTTAATCCTCATAGTCCGCCATGTTTGTTGTTATTCTTCCCACTTGTGTATCAGGATGCATTATAGTGGAGTTTGTTGAGTATCAGTGACGTTCAGGTCAGATGAATGCGACGTGAACGTTAGGTCGTGTTTGAATTGGATACGTGTCGGATGTCCAAGTGGCCCGAGTCGCATTCGAAGAGAATCTGACCTGTGCTGTTTAGACTGTCATGAAAAGATCGGATACACGTTGCATTACATCAAAAAAATCGGAATTGGGTCACTTCAGGCTGCAGTGTGAACGCAGCCTTTGACACATCAGGCTGCAGACATGCAGGTGGAGGTTGCAGTGCTGCATGCGATGTGACCGGGGAGTGAGCAGCGATGCCCCCTGCACTGACTAACTGCATCTGCTGGTGAAGGAAACGTTTCTGCCAAATCAGCTGGAGTCAGTTTTCCTTTATTATGCTTCAAAACGTGAAATGTCCCTGAAACGTTGAGTGTTTCCATCCTGTTTTACCCAACAGCGCCCCCTTCACCTCAGCAGGAGCAACCACAGGGACAGGTTTCCGTTTCAGGCTGTAGACCGGAACCGGTCTGGTTCAGCACCAACAGCTCCTCCAGGCAGCGTGGCAGAACATCTCTGTTTCCATGGGAACACTCTCGGTCGGTTCCGGAAGCTAACTCTGCTGCTGGTTCTCCCCCCAGGTGTGATCCACAGGAACCGCCCGAGTTCCACTCCAAACTGGGCCTCCGGAACCAGCACGGCAGCGACCCGCAGAACCAGAACACGCTGCGTTCCTGACCCGGAAATTGTCGTTTCGGGTTTCTTTGACGAAGACCAGGTCTTTGGAGGCCGACCCGGTTCTGAAGACTTCAGCCACAACACGTCCGGGTCCAGTTCCCCCATCACCTGTAGAGGTACACCGACCCAGAACCAGAACCCCCGACCTAGACATGGTCCAGAACCAGAATCGGATCGGTAACAGAACCAAATCTCTCTCCTGGTCTCAGATGCCTTCGATCGCCCTCAGCACTCAACCAGCCTCTCCAGTGATGATGTCATGTTCCTCAGCCAATCACAGCAGAGCCTGTCACGGAGCTCCACCCTCCCTTATGACCACGCCCCCCAGAGGGCCCAACCGCAGCGTGGAGGCGGGGCCAGGACTAAGCCCCGCCCAGGTTCTCCAGGAAGTGAGATGGTGACACTGGAGGAGTTCCTGGAGGAGAGCAACCTGCTGTCTCCGCCCCTGGTGAGAAGCCCCGCCCCCTGGCACCAATAGATCAATGGAGTGATTATCAGTTTCCTTAATTGTTGTTCCCCAGCTGTCCACCGGAGGCGCTGACGAGTTGATGGCGGACTACTTCAGCCGAAGCCCCGCCCCCTCCGCTGTGTCTGGCAGGGATCAGGCCACGCCCACCAGCTATGTTTCTCCCACCGTCCACTCGGCCAATCAGAGGCTGGGTCAGAGTGTGAAACCCTCCCCTCGACAGCCGGCCGGCCAATCGCTGAGCAGGGCCTTCAGCCTGGCCTCCGCCGACTTGCTGCGCTCCCAGGGACCCGACAGTTACCGTGGAAATGAGGCAGACGGGGCGGCGCGGTGCGGAGGCGGGGCCAAGCGCGAGCGCCCCCTGTCGGCTCGGTTTGCCGAGCCGACAGGGTTTCCTGCCGTCCGCCATTCGCCGTCCCTCAACCTGCAGCAGGACCGGGGGCGGAGCCACCGCGGGGAGGTCGCCATGGTGACCCCCGTCAGGGCTGCGCAGCCCGACCCTGCCCCCGAGGGAGGCGGCACCTCGACGGAGGGACGGCCCTCTGACTCCGCCTACTCCAACAAAGATGGCTCCTCGGAGCGACCCAAAAGCACGCCGGCATCTCCGGACCCCAATAACGACCCGCAGACCGTCTGGTACGAGTACGGCTGCGTCTAAACCGGACCGGGTCAAAACACATTCCTGGAACAGAACTGGACTTGCTCAGAACCTGGTTCTGATAGGTTCTGCAAGTTCTGAGTAGCCAGCAGGTTGAATGCTGGGAAGCAGCCCGGAACATTCCGGCCCGGGTAAACAGAACCGCCCAGTAATTACAGCCTTCCTACATGTTTAGCTGCTGTCCCAGAATGCATCACTTTCTCGTTCCGGGAAGCAGAACCGCTGGGTCTGACCCAAAACCACTGAGTGTGGGCTGAGGCCCGGCCCAGACGGCTGTGGTTCTGCTGGGCCTCTAGGCCCGGCTGCAGAAACTGGACCTCTGTTAACAGAACCTCAGAACCGGTTCGGTCAGGAACTTGACCTCTGGTTCTGGTTCCACATAGACAGCAGCAAGAAACCCGCTCCATATCAGAACCTCCAGAACCACCATTCGGAAAATCAGGCCAGAAGATGACCCAGTCATCTTTCTGACCCGGTTTCCCCAGAATGTTCCACTCAGAGTGGTTCTGACCCGGTCCAGCGTCTGGATCGGGAATACAGAGAAATACGTCGTAAAGATCCGCTACAGAACCCAACAGAGCCAGCTCGGTGTGAATGTGGTGAACCCAGGATCCAGTAAGTCTGGTTCCAGTTTTGGTCCATATTTCCTCTCCAGGTCTCCTGAACAGAACTTTGGTTCTGACCCGGTTCTTATTTTGAAGCTCATTGTTTCTGGAGGAGAGTCCAGAACCAGAAATGTTCTGGTTCTGATCAGCTGGTTTCCCTTTAACAGATGATGATGATGATGATGATGAAGAAACACTGAATCGGACCGGTTCTGCCGGTTCTGAATCGTTTTATGTAAATTATTCGGTAACTTTTGTACATTTTTATTTGGTGTAAATATTGGAGCCAGAACTCAGCCGGGCCCAGAGGTTCTGCTGGGGTTCTGGTGGAACCGGTTTGTTCCGGCTGCATTTTGTTCTGTCGCTGTCTGCTGTGATGTGATGACTGCTGAAAACGGACCTGTGGTTCTGGTTCTGCTGGACTCAGTAGAATAAAGATCTCTAAACGGAAACGGCTTGCGCTGCTCATTTCAGAACTGGGTTTGGGTTCTCTACGCGGTTCTGGCGGGTCGCAGGAGAACCATGTCCTCTGGATCACTAGAACCGTCAGAATCCCAACAGAACCACTTGTTCCAAACCGGGTCATCAAACCGAACTAGTAATTAACTAGTAACTACTAGTAATAAAGTAGTAATTAACTAGTTACTAGTGTTTAGGTATTTTAATGGCGGGTCGGCAGTCATTGATTTTCTATAAACTGAATTAATCAGATGAACTGATTAGACTCCAAAATAATTATCCCTCCAGAGGTCAACAGGTGAGAGGCGGGGTCACCTGGAGGTCAGCACAGAAAGACAAACAACCAACCAGAAGGTTCTGATCGTGTTTCTGGAGTGAGACGGGAATCGAACCCACAACCTTCAAGCTGCTGCTAAAAACTTCCTGTTCCTCAAAACACCTGGAGTAATTATTGATAATATTACGAATAGTGATAACTTTCATCATCACTAATTTGATTATGCTGCAGCGACGGAGCGCTGATGAAACTGAATTCATGTTTTTGATGAATCTTAAATATTCAGTGAGTTTTGAATTATGATGATTATACATCTGCTGCTCTGGTTTTATTTCCCAGAATGCACCAGAATAACCTCCTGGTTCCTAGGCTGTGTCAGAACCAAACAGAACCTGAACAGTATTCACTCCTTCCAGAGTTCTACTGGTCGGTCCAGCACCATAAAGAAGGTTCTGAATTCTGACCAGAACCTTGGTTCTGGTCAGAATTTCGCACATGGCCTGGACTGATGGTTCTGTTGATCAGGTTGAACCTACAGGAGGTTCTGGTTCTGGTCTCAGTTCTGACCCTGATCGGAGAGACTAAAACTTCCTGTAGTTTCCTGCCGTCCTGACTCCAGATGCGCATGCGCCTTCTGCAGAGGAGCCGCGTGTGATTTAAAGCGTGAGCGCGCAACGCGGTGCGCGACGCGCCGCGCCGCGCTGCCAGTTTGCCGCAGACCGCCGGAGCGGAAACAGCCGGTAAGCAGCCTCTCCTGCTCTCCGGTTCTTTCGAAACCGAACTTCTGACAGAAGTTCGGATCCGCGACGCAGCTGTCCCTGAAAAGAAGCGGAGCCTCTCCGGAACCAGGACGGTTCTCCCGCTGGACCTGCAGCTGATGGTAGGAACGCGCGGGAATGTTGCCATGGAGATGAGGGGGGTCTGGGTGGGGGGGTCTGGCACAGTCCGTTGGGTCCTGATCTCCCGGTTCCGCCAAGAACAAAGTCCAGTTAGAACTCCAGAACCGGATGTAAAAACTCAGTGAAACTAAGGTTCCTCATTTTTTTCCTCCAGAAACGAAAGAAACATTTCAGCTCCGAAGGTCCAGTTGGTTCTGTGAGTTACCAATGCAGAACCTTCTCCTTCAGTCAGGTGGAGGGCTGGACTTTGACTAGGACATTCTGCTGCGTTGGGACCCTGGTTCTGTTGATGATGGTTCTGACTGAGCTTCAGCTGCTGAGCAGATGGACTCACAGGAGTTTCTGGTTCCGGACCATCACTCCTCTATCACCGTGCTTCACTGAGGCTTCCGGTTCCAAACATCACGGTTCTGGTTCTGTTCTGGTTCTGTTCATCCCGGTCCATCACGGACAGAACCTCCTACATGGATCGAACCAACCAGAACCTCTCATGCTGGTTCAGAGTTCTTCTGGTCCAGAAGGTCCAATTAGCAGCTGGCTCCAGCAGAACTTTGGTTCTGGACGGAAGCAGAACAGAACCTCTTGGAGCCGAATCATCTGGGACCTGCCCTGGTTCTGGTTCTGGTGTATGAAGCGTTCGCACAGAAACTGCGGCGCCAAATTTTACACAATTCGGGATTCACAAAAATGAGCGAGAAACCGGAAACGTGAAATCTGGACCTGATTTGTCCACAAACCTCGATCGCCTGGATTAACTGTTAAGTTTTCGCTTTAGGTATAAATGCTACTATGTGATTTGGCAAAATAAAAAAAAATGATCTGGCAATAAATTCACTTCATCATACATAAAACATGCAAAAATACTTACAGGCACAAAACGGCAGCTACTCAGTCAAAAGGACAACTGAAAAACCTGAAATCAGTAAAATAATATTTAATAGTAAGGCTCTCAGTGCCATAAATTATTAGTCAAATAAATCTGCTTATATCAAATAATGTCAAGTAATAAAGGAGACATTCAAAGTCAAACGCAGGTTGCATTAAAATAAACAATCTTGAGTTACTGAATCAACACTTCCTGATAGCGACCAGCTGTTAATGCTGGCTCTGATTGGCTAGCTGATTAATGCTGGCTCTGATTGGCTAGCTGATTAATGCTGGCTCTGATTGGCTGTTTCTGACTGAGCGGAGTAATTTTGCAGAACACGGGAGGAGGCAGAGATCGATTATTTTTCAGAGCTCATCTATCTTATGTTAGGACAGCGAAAGTTTAATACATATGTAAAATATTTTTGTTGTTGTTTTAGTTCCCTGCTGCAGCTCTAAGCAGAGGTTCGGTGTGAGAGTTCACTGCTGGGTGGAGGTTGAGCGGCTCCGTCTGTGAAATATTACCACCAGTAACGGCGGTCCAACAGCTGGAGCAGAACCAGAACCAGCGGCTTACACTGCCAGCTTGAAGACTTGAATTATTTTTAGGTTTATTTGTTTAGCTTTCTGACGGTGATGCTAGTCCGGGTGAGTGTTGGTAGTTACTGCTTTACTTGCTGACTGATCGCTCCAGAAGTCTTTTTTCTCCTGCATTGAGCCTCGATGTTGCCAAACTCCGTCTAATTCTTGTTTATTAATTACCATATTATCTTCGTTGTGTTGATGGATTTTGACGTGCTTCACTCCCGAGGCAATTTTCCGCCGCAACACTCAAACTTCCCCATTTACGCCCAGAGCGTTATAGTTACACGACAGGATTTGTTGCTGTGCGCTTGCGCAGTGTGAAAGAAAGAGGAGATGAGCTGCACATCTCACTGCGAAGTGAGACACATGTGATCGTTTTGGTGATCGGTAACCAAGAGACCGTGATCGGCGATCACCGACATTTTTCACGGAAATCGCCCATATTATCGGTGGCCGACCGATCGGCGCACCTCTAGATCAAACATCTCTTCTTAGAAATCATCAGTAATTAATATCAGTAATCATTACATCATTCCCGAAATGCGCCTTTTAAACAGATTATATCATTAAAACCGCCTATCCTTGCAAACAGGGGCCGTTGCCATGGTAACTGGGACACGTGGCTGCAGCCTTTCGGGTATTAACACTGATTTACATATTTATGGGCAGGTTCAGCTGTTTCAGATCGGGAACTATCTTTTCAAAAATTCTGCCGTGATGACGGAGCAGGCCAGGTGGGCCCCTTATGGGACCAATGAGGGCAATAATATGGATTGGCCCGGATAGAAAATGTATCTGTTTGGTATCCTGGAAGCCATCTTTATTCTGCTGTGAGGCACATTGGGTTGGTCAGCAGGAATGCATTTCAAAGAGCTTTACATCATAAAAACAAAAATACAAAGTTATAGAGACAGTCAACAATTGAAACATTTGTCAAGTGATATTGTTAACTAATTTACTGTGACCAGTGTTAGCTAATTCACTGTGACCATTGTTAGCTAATTCGCTGTGACCAGTGTTAGCTCGCTGTGACCAGTGTTAGCTCACTGTGACCAGTGTTAGCTTGCTGTGACCAGTGTTAGCTAATTCACTATGACCAGTGTTAGCTTGCTGTGACCAGTGTTAGCTAATTCAGTGACCAGTGTTAGCTAATTCACTACTTCACTGTGACCAGTGTTAGCTTGCTGTGACCAGTGTTAGCTAATTCACTGTGACCAGTGTTAGCTAATTCACTGTGACCAGTGTTAGCTCGCTGTGACCAGTGTTAGCTAATTCACTGTGACCAGTGTTAGCTTGCTGTGACCAGTGTTGGCTTGCTGTTGCTAGGAGGGATCCGGTGGATCACCAGCTAAGAAACAGTGGACCTGTTCTAAGCCAGACTCGTGTTCTCCACAGAGACCAGGACCAGCTGCTTTTCTCCGTCACTGCAGCAGCAGACCAGTTGTGTTCTGGCTGGATCGTGTAAGTGAGTCGGACATGTCTGAAGAGATCGTGATCAACTGCACCATCAGCCATGAAGTCCACCAGTACGTCTTCTCCTGCGTCTACATCCTGGTGCTCCTGGTGAGAGGCTCTCCACCGGCCGCGCAAAACTTCATTCATGCTGAATGCTTCAAACTGAGAGGGCGGCGGAAATGCAGCTTCCTGCCTGAAGCGGTTGCTGCGGCAGCAAGGAAGTGCTGCCGCAGTGACCAATCAGCAGAGGGTTGCTGCATCACTGCGGTTGGTTTGGAGAGTTCCTTGATTTTTATTTGAAGCCTCTAGATGTTCTGTTAGATCTGCTGTTGAAGCTGCTTCTGCCTGCTTCTGGTCCAGTCTTGCTCACACCATTTAAGGACTTCTAGAAAACTATAAAGATTATTATGGGGTGTAAAACTGTTAGGGTTTTAACTTTATGTCTGAACAAGGTCTTCAGAAAATGGACCCAGAAGTTCTGGAGAAGAACTGAACCCTTCAACCAACCAGAAACCTCTAATAGCTCAAACCTTCAGCATCACAGCAGTAGATAACTCCAAACCATTCGCTGAGTTTTTTGTTGAAGTTTTCTATATTATTGGATGAAAACGCAGAAACCTAGCCTAGCCTTAGTGTTATGTGACGCATGATTAGCTGGTGTTTGTAATTGTATTTGGGGCTCAGCCAATCAGCACCAACGAAACAAAAAGGTGCTGATTGGCTGAGCCCGTAAAGCAGCAATTAGGAAGACTGTAGATGTGCTGTAGTGCTAAAACTGTCTCCGCTGCACGTATTAATGCATAGTAAGGTATATTCAGTGTCTGAACTATCAAAACAAGCAGAGTTTGAAGTATTTGTGTTTTTTAGCTGTGATCCAAACTTGAAGGAGTTTCCCAAACATCAGTAGACATGAACAGAAGCTACAGCTGTAAAGAAACTGTTAGCATTAGCATACCCAGGCTCAGAGTCAGTGAGTGACAGGAAGCTGGTACCAAACACTGGCAGTCCGATATAATCCCAACACATGAAGTGAAACATTGGTGGTTGATTTCAGGTGGGTGTTCCCTCCAACCTGTACTCCCTGTACCATGCTGCAGTCCAGCTGAGGCAGAGGAACGAGCTGGGGGTCTATCTGCTCAACCTGACCGTGTCCGACCTGCTCTACCAGGCGTCTCTGCCGCTCTGGCTGCAGTACATCTTTCGGGTAATGGGTTCTGCTGAAGAGAAGACCTCTGAAGGATTTGGCAGTTTTATGTCAGCCTGGTTGTTTTCTGTTTCTTCTTTCAGAACGACGACTGGCAGCACAGAGAGTGGTTGTGTCAGCTTTGTGGTTTCCTGCTCTACGAAAACATCTACATCAGCATCGGCTTCCTATGCTGCATCAGCATGGACCGCTACCTGGCCGTGGTCCATCCTCTCAGGTAGATCCGCTGGAACCGTTTCACACCAGCAGATTCAAGCCACATGGAAAACCTTTCTGCCTTCCCCTCTCCAGGTTTACCTCTCTCCGCTCTATGACTGCAGCATGGATCGCCAGCGCCACCATCTGGCTTAAAGAGGTAGCAGTGGGTGTGGTTTTCTTTCGCCACAAAGAGGTGAGCAGAGACCAGACTAACCAGTCGGTGTGCTTCGAGCATTACCCCATGATGCCTTGGGAATACCCCGTCAACTACTACCGCTTCAGCGTTGGCTTCCTGTTCCCGTTGGCCATCCTGTCCGTAAGAAACCGCCGCCATCAACTGTGACCCGCTGTGACCCACTCTGACCTCCTGTAACCTTCTGTGACTTCCTGTGACCCGCTGTGACCCACTCTGACC